CAGGCTTATCTTAATCATTAATTACCCAGCTGATCATTTTTAGTATATTAACTCGCAGTTGACTGTCCACAAGGCTCACGATTAATTATTGTAAATTTGTCAATGCTCAGCCATAATTTATTAGTTAATATCTGAAAATAAATATAAATGATACTTTTTTGTACATATATTTATTATAATCTTTGGTCTAATAATATATTAACATTTAATATAATCATTATCAATTTTAAATACAGTAGAAATATACTTCTTACAAAAATGCTTTAAAAAATACAGTAGAAAATAGTTAGAAAAGAGCTTATGATAACGAATTGAAGCGCTGTGAAGGAGAAACGATGAATGTAAATCGTGTTTCAGTTCACAACGTTGAAGATGTTTTAATGAATGAAGGTAGAAGAAGTGGTAATAGCAAAGTTTAGGAGTGAGGATGAAGGATATCACAGGCATGCTTATCGCCCTTAGTGGACTATCCTTGCGTGTCTCTATCATGGCTTTCGGGTAATCCTTTTTCACAATTATTATCAACATATATAAATTTCTTATTCAAATGTCTTAGTGTGTTCTTATAAGAGAGTTGATCCATTGGTGGATCATTGTTATTCACATACTTTTTCATAGATTAGCGAATTCAGCAAGTGTAATGATGGTGCATGATTTTCAATTGAATTTTTGTGAGGGAACGACGTATCATGACGTGAAGAAAATAACACTGTCCTAGCCCCGTACGAAACTTATGCTCTGACTTGTTTGTTCCACTGATGACCACATAACTTATATTAAATAAAAGATATTATCTATTAATTTTTGATCGTATGCTTTTGAGTGTATATATAAAAAAAACTATTGTGGCAAGTGCTGAAGTGTATCGCATTCAACAAGGTTTAGAGGATAATTGCTCAAAGATGGGTTTGGGTGCAGTGGAATGCTCTAAAATAGATAGAAGTTTTGGTAAATAGGAGATGTACAACATGTGCTTACTTTTCATAAATGACTTAAACACATTGATGTTGTTCATGTTACTCTTTGGTGCTGAAATGTAGTAATGCGACATCACTATCTCTGCTTACTCTTTATCGAGTTGTCATTCTATCTACAGCTGGTGATGAGGTTAACTAAGCTCTGTCTGACTCACTAATTTTGACACATTTTTGCAATGTAAAATAATTGTCACAGGTTTTGGGGTAATATCCAAGATGCTATTTCCTTTCAATGGGTTGTCATGAAAAAATTTTCACTAACTACATAGTAAGTAATAACCTTATATGTATGATGCATTAAGCACAGAGTTTTGAATTATGTAGCAGAAAATGTATCAACATTTAAAAAATCAGCTCACTCTTAGTTATGCTTATGCTCCCTCAGAAAGTGAACATAAAGTGCAGGAGGGAGGTTCTGCTAGTAAAGTAGAATGAAAACTTGTCATATGACATTTCAAAGACATAAATGTTCCTTTTTTTTGTTTGTTTAAAGAACCATTTAATGCATCATGCCAAAGGGTTCTCACACTCTCTTGGATTAACATAGAAGCTTTAGCACAGAGAATTTTTCAGGGGAACTTACACAGAGAATTCTTGCTTGAATTGACTGCAATAGCAACATCCTCGGGCATCATCATTGAAGCCTCTGCAAGTGTAATATATCAATACAATGGTTCATTTTGTAACACAGGCTAACATAGTAAAGGAACAGCGAGTTGTCTACCCAGTAATATGCAACTTGTTCCTTGAACTATTTCATAAAAGCCATTGAATCAAAACCATTCATCTTAGAAGAAGGCATGGGAGATGGGAATCAGATGAAATAAAGAAGGGTAGAGAAAACTAGTTATTTTCTTGTTGAGCATCACAAAGAATGTAGTTAATGAGCCCTCAAATCAAATTTTAAAAATATTAACTTAGCACAAACATGTCAACCAATAAATTCTTTTAAATAAGAACAAATCAATCTCTGATATTAAAATAGCTCTAACTATCGATCATCTTTGATTATTTCACATACTTTTATACCCCTTAAAATCGATTTTTTTTTTACTCTTTATCTGTCTCATCTTCCACATGACTTAGCATTATCTACAGTGATATCAAATTACCATTTTCAAATACGGGTAGATGCTCATTTTTTTATTTACATTTTTGTTTATTTAGACAATCTGATGTGCTAACAATTCTTGTTTCTAATTTTAATTTATACGATGATAACTTCTACTTTTTGATGTAGAAAAACTATAATTTGGAACAATTTTAAACGTGATGGCTTGTTTTCGTGTAAAAAATAAAACTGTTATCTAGTGAGAGACAGCACAAAAATAATGATTTAGTACGGGTTAGGATTAACTCAAATGACGCTTGTAGATGAAGTTATTTACAATGATTTGAGAGCAAAAAAGCAAAAATTTTATTACAAAAGAAACAATAGAAGATTTATTTTCCCCCAACAACAATAATAATATCAATTTCGTAACTATTTAAAAGTAATATATTTACCGGAGAGTTGGGGTGGAATACGACACATGGTCCCTAAAGAGAAACGTCATTGTGAAAGAGAAAGAGAGGGAGTGGGAAAGAAAATCAAGAACACAGTGCTAGTGGCATATCAATGATTAGTGTGTGGTAAAAAAATGAATGAATAATGAAAAAGGATCATTTTTTTCCTAAATATATAGTACAATGAATGTTGTATGATGAGTTATATCAAAGTCAAATGGGAATACTTATTTTCTAAACTTTACAATAATGGGAAGATTAACATTCTTCCACTTTGTCCCCTTTCTTCTCTGATTGTTTTATCTTTTTGATTCAATGGATGTCCTTCTTCTTCTTTCTACTCCTAATGTGTGGAGGGTTCATATCTCCTTTCCTCTTCGGTCACCCTTTTTTGTTTTGGTGAAAAAAGACCAGGCCAGGGCCTCCCTCTCAAACATCCTTTTGGGCCCTATATCAGGTCCATTAATGTGGGCCATTCCTGTATGGGCTGACTCCTACACAACCCTCATTCTATTTCTAAAATAATGGTTTTTTTATTAACGACCAAAAAAATATGTTGTTTATATTCTCGATAACAAAAATATTATTTTTATTTAAGGGTCCATTTGTTTATATTTTCAAAATGTTTTCAATTAGAGTATATATTTAAGAAATTATAGTACTTACGTAAATTTAAAAAAGTAAAAACTATTATTGCTTTTTTTATAAATAAAAAATTATTAAAAAAAACTTATATCATAAAAACAATTTTTTGAAACTTAATAGATAAGATCTTAAATACACATATATAAAATGTTGACTGTACGGATTTGATATCTCATTCGGCCTCTTTTCTTTCCCTTGTCTTCTTATAAAACATGCTACGAATCTTTCCTTAGATATGGCCTTGCTTTGTTGCATTGAGGGGTTGGTCATTCATTGGTGTCGAGGAACTGGAGACTGTGTCCCATTTAACGCAGCCGCTTTGACACATTCACTTTCCTCTTCACATTGTGGTCTCATGACACCCCCGCTTGTTTAGCACACGTTATTTGATATACCCTTTTTCATATTGATACTCCTAACCTCTTAAGAATGAGTTAAGCACAAATTTTTAATATGGTATTAGAGTATATTCAGTTTGAGTTACTTTCAAACGTTTAGTCTTAAATTAAGGTTTGTTACATCAGTTAAAAATATTCTTATTCTCAAAATGTGAGTTAGATCCAATTATAGTTGATGTACACAACTTCACCCTCCATGCTATCTTTTCACTATAAAGCTCAAAACCACGAATGAATAAAGATGACACTGAAGGGTCTTGGTGTTTATGGATGTTGTCGAAGCCAAAGTATGCTCTTGGTTTGAATGGAGGGCACCACACCCAATTATCCTGCTATATCCATCCCTAAATCCAAGACAAGAAAATTTCTTTTTAGTGCCAATGCATGACAAGTTCCTATTGTATAACTACCTGATGTAAACGTCTAACCTGTAATAAAGATCTGTATAATTGGGCTATAATAAAAGGCACAAGGGACCCGTTAGTCACTTCATGTGAATGTAATCACCAAAATGCTTTGATAGTAAATTAAAGCCTCAAGAATGAAGCAGCACCAAAAGTTCCCGTATAGGTTGTATTATCCTTGTATCTTTTTTTGCTTTCTTAATATCAACAACCTCGTGATCTTATGAAGCAACTTCATAACAACAAAAGGTTCCTAATCAGGGTGCCAGCAAACAAGCATTAAATAAATTTAAAGAGTGACACGTGATTTGAGATGCTCAAGGGAATCTTGGAGGGATCCATGGCCACTCTTCTCCATTTTTTATCTGTCTTGCCCCGGTAGATCATGTTAAATATAATCTCTATTACTGAACCCATAAATAAATCACACAACACAAGCATTCTAAATAAATAATACTTTAGCCTAAAGCATTTTGGTTATAGGTCCATTGTACTTGTTACTCCACTCATCTACCTTTATCCAATGGGAGATTTTTTCATTCCCATTGAAATTCCCTATTTTGCATGTCGTTGAAGTTGTATCGAGAAAAAAAGTTTCTCTTTTATTTACCAATCTTTTTCTGCAAGGCACATCCTAATCAGTAGATAATGATTTTGTTAAACTTCGTACGAAAAAATGCCCTACCAATAAGCAATGCTGCAATAAAATGGCGTAATATTCAAAGTGGAATAACAAAATGGTTTTTTATTTTCATTTCCCAGCTTTATAAACAAATATAAAAACAATTTTTTTTAATTTCTTTCTTATTTGTAAATATTTATGTGCAAATGGAGAAAATAGCAAAATGCTATTTTCACTATGTCCTATATAAATTTTAAAAATAAAAAAGATGACATTTTTATAATTATGTATAAAAAATAAATACATGAAATATTTTTTGAAATAAAAAAGCCACTTAACTTCTTTACCTTAATGGAAGTCAATCAAGTTAGAGAATGAGAATACCCTCTACATTCAAAATCCCCAATCCAGTCGTTAATTTTGTATTTTTTTTTTTTTATGGATATTACATATCAATTATAGGAACCATAGAAGCCAAAAAGAAGTTGTGAATAAAGATGATTATCATACATTATTACTGTTCCTTAAGGAACATATGGATTGGTTTTGATTCCTCAATAAGGATGGATTAGGTTGTAATTTTCGTTAATAAGCCCAAGCAATTGATCAACATGCAGAAGGATAGGGATAAGATGTGGGAGGCATTGTTAGGGAGTACAACCACACAAGACAAAACAAGCTTCAATTACAATAAATGAATGAGAATAACCAATTTATATAAGTTTGGGGTATGGCATATACATGCACTTTCTCATCGTTATGTTTATAGAAAAGAGGGCCTGCGTAGTAATAATTATTAAGTTGGGAGGAAACTTGGTTCAGCTAAAAATTCTGCAGAATTCAAACAAGCATTAAACAAACGCCAACTACCTCTTAATAAGTCATTCTGCAGTTCCATTTAAGTCTCCGACACAGTTAAGGTTCCAGATTATCAGTCTGAGGCTCTGCTTGTTTATTTATGGAATCTGAGAATCGGATCGTGGTGTGTTACAAAGTGACAAAGTTACCGGACTTTGAACGGTATTTCATTTGTTCTATTCAACGATTGGATGAAAATGACTTCACAGATGGAGAAGGTTTTTCTTCTGATTAAATGTAATCTCCCACTTGAAGAGTGCATGTTTCAGTTGGTTGAATAGAACGTGACAAAGATGATGGTGCAAATGCTCAACAAAGATGGTTGTTTAGAAACGATCTCTGTGAGGGAGGGGTACAATTTTAGTCTAAATAAATAAAACTAACCTCAACTATCAGCCTTCATTGAGTGCCACTCAAGATGATGTGATGACCCAGTTCAGTGAAAGTTACAGATAATCCCAAAGACATTGAACTGTATTTTCTATGGAGAACCCGATTCTACTCATGTAGCTCTATTATCTATCGATAACAGGAAAAGCTAACAATCATGGAACGCATAAGCCATGTCTGGTCCGTGTCACGAGTAAGGCTTCTTCTAACTGAGCTACCGTGGGGCAGTGTTCCATTTCTTTTCCACAGACATACACATTCTCAAATCTCAGACAGAATTTGCAGTGAATGTCAGGTAAATAGAAAATAAAGTGCCTATTAGTTTATCATTTTGAAAGATTTATTTTTTTCAATTCCCCGGAAAGGCTACGTGATCATTTCTCCTAAAATAACCTTTCACCAAATAACCAAACATGCTATAAAGCAGCAATTCCACACCAGAGTGGAGCAATGGTGACCACATGAAGAAGCGAGCAAGATCAAGCTTGCCAAATTGACAAGCGCAAGGTAAAAAGATGGGTAAATTTAATGCCAAACGGCTCTTGACTTGAATTTCACAGATATTGAACTGCTGATGCTAATCAACCTGCACCAACTGTCACATTTAACAGGACAAAATGGGGTAAGGAAGAAAAAAGGAAGGGATGATTTAACATCACTCATTATAGGATGAGAAGCAAGCTCTAGATCAGTACAAAAACATGACAGCGTTCCCATTGATCAGACCTACTCCAATAAATTTCAAATTTTCAGCTGCTCCAAGCTCCGAGCGGTCTCTGATTCTGGTGGGATGTTCTCAGTCTTGTCCATCTCTTGAATTTTAATTGGCAGCTTATCATGCTGGCCAGGGGCACTAGGAGCTGGAAGATCTTCTTTATGGATGGGAGCAGGGTCATCCTTTTTTGGTGGTGGAGCAGCATATACAGGAACAGCTTGCCTAATATTGACTGGAGAAGCAACTCGTACAGGAGGGCCCCGTATTACTGGATGGGGCACTGAAGGAGGTGGTGGAAGAGGTGGCGCAGCAAATGCAGGTACTACAGTCCTTATAGTCACTGGAGGTGCAATACTCCGGCAAGATGCTCTCATTTGTCGAATAGGAACATAAGGTGCTGCTCCGGCTGCAGGGAACTTCAGGGGACGGATCCCTCGGCTTTCTAGTGCACAAGACTGTGGTGGCACTACAGAATTGTCACTGGTCACTGCTGCTTGTGCATGCCTGCTTAGAGGACTTTCATATGCTGTTACCAGTGAAGGTTTGGCTCGAGGTGCTGTCTTTTGGCAAATTAGGGGAAGGATCTTGGATGTGGTGGCAGGTGGCGGTTGAGAACTGATTGGCCTAGGATTTTGAATCTGAAACTTCTTCTGAAAGGGAATGGGAGTATTTGGATTAGACAGTGTCATCTTTTCCTTCAGACGGTAGTTCAGTAAAGCCCGTGCTATTGTGATCTGCTCCAGTTCATCATTGTTCTCCGGTTCAGTTGAAGATCTTGCAGTCTCTTTTGCCACTGGTGAGAAAGAAAATTATTGTCAATTCATATTCAATCACTCACACAGGAATCATAAATCAGACTCAGATACACAGAAGACAAAAAAAAGTTGTTTAAATTGTCAAATGGACAGGTATAATTCTATCTGGCACAGATTGTCTTCCAAAAGAAATTATCTTGGCTAAGCATCTAAGAAGTTTTTAGCATAGATTGCTAGCAGACTGCCACAAAACCATTAGATAAATTTGTCAGCCAAATTCATTTGCCATGTCTCTTGCAAGAACAAGAGAAAACAGGCAACAGGCTTGGGTTGGGTTTGTCCAGTGTTCCATTTTGTGATATATGACATGCATTATGCTTTGTTCAGATGACCAATTGATGAAAAGTACCATGTATTTTCATAATTCATAAAAACAATTAAATTTTCAGAGCAAAGCTTGCAAGCCACTTACATTGTTTCAAAGATGACCAAGCTGCCATAGCTGCGTTTTTCTCAGCTTGTTTCTTATTCTTGGCAGGTTCACCAGTAAATGTGATTCCAGCCAGTTCTACTATTCCAGTAAAAACAGGTAAATGTCCCAGGCCTGACCTGAATGTTGTGTAATGAGGCAATGGAGCTCCTACCCTTTGTGCAATTTCCTGCAAGAGATTCTTGTAGACTCCGGTCTCATCCTAAAACAATTGAATGCGATAAGTATATGAACCAAAAAGCTACTAAGGGTGCAACACAGACATACCATCCAATGCAGATACATACACATGCTAACAATAGTAACAGTGATAACCAGGCTAGTTGGATGAATAGAAAACCTCCTTTAATGTGTGTAGGATATTTAATATTTTACTAGGAGACTTGAAGAAAAACAAGTGTATACATAGGAGAAAACACAGTTCCCAGCATCATATACTGAGATTCCTCCATAGCCCATCTCCACCCCCTTCCCAAAAAAATAAAGGAAAAAGAGAATGTGACACAATTACACAGTGAATCAGACAAATTATATTTACAAATAGTTGTTCTTCTTTTCTTTCACATTGGCAAACTGATATTTAAAAAAAGCAATAGAAGTTTACAGCTGGCAAACTTTTTGCAAGTTATACAGCAGAGTAGCATAAAGCTCACTTCTAATTTTAGAAACAAATATTTGTTCTCTTTCATAAAGGTTTCTCACAGAGACTATCACATATTCTGTCATAATCTTAGGTTCAAAAACCCCAGCTTTCCTTTCGCAACAGCAATGATTGGTAAGATCACAGTTCTACACCCACCTGCAACATTTGTGTATTAATATAAAAATAAAAAGGGTAACAAGTTCGCTATGCAAACATCCTAATTTTCTCAAAACCCCCCCTCCCCAACTCAGCATTTGTCATTCGTAACTCACTTCGATGAATCCGATTTAGATTCAGTTGCCCCTAGTCAAATCAATACAACATTTAATTTCACACGAAATGTAAAATTAATCAATATCCGTATTCAAATGTATCTAAAAGGACGGCTAACATGTTAAAAAAGGCCTATGAAAGTGGGAAACATTCCTACTACTACGGTATACTCATGACCTTGCTTCAGTAACATATACAATATGTACTCCTGTAGCTCTTTGCCATAAGTAATTATAAAACAGTGAGAAGATACATCCCATTCCTCCTATGATAGCAAAGGCCAATTAATCAAATCAAAAAAAGGAAAGAACAGTTCAGCACAAGAATCATGTAAAACAGGCCACTACATTGTGCATGTCAGCATCAAATTATAAATTGTGCATATTGTGATGATTATACACATCCATTCTTAAATCCTTTCTTATTCTAACCACGAGATAATTATATTCAAGCCACCCTTAGTCTAAAAACTTCGAAAACCTAAGCTCCTGCCACCATCGCTCACACTGTTCCTACCACCACAAAGCACTACATTAATGAAAAAAGTCCAGGGGCATTTCGGTCATTCCACAACCAAACCGTGCGACGGTGCAAGATAGCACGAGCTTCCACGCACGGAGACCCTGTGACTCACAAAAGAGTCACGGGCGCACGTTAGCAAAGAGCTGCGGCTAGAGCTAAAATGAAGTTAAGGAGATGGAGAAAAGGAAGAAGGAAAACCCTAGAAGCTGCATTGAGTGAGAACTCACGAGGATCTTGGCGGCGAGGGAGTGAGAGGGGCCACGGTGGGAGAGAGAATTGAGAGCGACCTCGGCGGCGGAGTGCTCCGCCTGACGGAGAGTGGAGCAGTAGTGAGGACTCTCGAAGATCTCGCCGTTAAAGTTAACGGTGGCCTTAAACCTCGGCGCGTGATCGGGACCTTCCCGAATGCACGTGTACGACGGCAGGTTGAAGCAGCTCCTCTGTGCCAGCTCTTGAAGCTGGTTCTTGTACATTTTCCAATCTTTCTCTCTCCGGAAATGGTAGGTAAACACAGATCGGGGCAGCTATTTCGGGTCGGACCCGGTTCCGCCGGAAAACCCCTCGCCGGCGAGAGGAATAAGTTAGGGTTTGTGGAGGGAGGAATTGAAGAAGCAAAGTGGATGAGAGAGAAAGAAGAGTGAAGAAGGGAAGTTAGAAGGGAGAAAGAGAGAGAAGAGGGTAATTTCTTTGATTTCTGGGAAAAATCATTAATTATTTATTTATTATAATATTGGAAGGTTATTTATTGCGTTGTTGTTGTGAGTCAACTCAAACGTTAAGGTGCAGCACTGCATGGATGTGATCTTTTTAATACTTTTATGCCATTAATCTTTATTAATTTATTTACTAATCTATCTTATCAATATCTTAGTTTCACCTTCTCCTCGCATCTGCTTCCTAACTTGCATTCAGTGTTCATACTCATTTTCATTTATATTAAATAATTCTAACTCTTATGTTTGTAAATAAATATTTATAAACACTTTTTAAATAATAAATAATGTATCTTTTATTAATATTTACTTTATAATATTTATCCTAACTTAAGTATCTAAAAAAAATTATTTTTTATTAAACAATTCATTACATTGAATATATGAGAATATAATAAATTAATGGAATTTTGTTGTTTAAAAATATTTAAACTTAAATTTTAAATTTTAGATTAATAAAAACGTAACAAAAGAATATTTTATTTACTTCAAGCCTTCAATTTGATTAATAAAAATGTATCACCCTTGAGTTACTCGTGTTTTTGTTGAAATCCTCCTAATTTTGTGTTGGTCTGATTATGTACAAATAAAAACCGAAAAACTAATGTACTTTCGTGCGCTCAACAATCGTCTTACAAAACCAAATCAACTTTTCAAGTTAATTAAGAGACGTGTATTGTATTGGTTAAAATATTGAGTATATTACAATATGTTTTTTCCAATATATATCTGAAATATATTGTCTTTTCTTCTATTTAAAGAGTAGTTCAAACATGTTATTCTCCATTGTATTATGACATATTTGATTGTGAAGAGCTTTCTGAGGTCAATTTTTTTATGCAAATTAGTTTTAATCTCTTGTTATCAATTTTTTAATTTTAAAAAAACATCTTAAACTGAATATTTCAGAATTAAAAAGGTGAGAGTGTTTAAAATGTTAGTTCATTTTCAAGAATTATTAAAATAATAACGGACCATTTAAAGTTAATTACTAAGTAATATTAAATTTGTAGATAGAAGATAGATTAAAAAAAATTGTTTATCACATTTAAGAGGTTTATTTACTTTTAAATCGACTAACCTATGATATAATTTTTAAATATATATTTTTTATAATTGACAAGTATCTTAAACATGTAAAATTTACCCTTTTTTTATTATTTTTATCTAATATTTTTTATTAATTTATACAAATCAATAAATATTTTATTTTATTAATTGTTAGATAAAATTATATATGAGATACTTGATTTTAAAAATTAATTAAATATAAACAGGTAAAACTATACATGCAATTAAAATTTTATAAAATATTTAAAAGTGATTAATTCTTAAAAAAATAATAAACCAATCATGCTAAGTAATATAAGAGAATAATATGTTGTCTTTAGAGATTGAAAATTAAGTATCAATGTGACAAAATAATTGGTATTATTATTCTTAACTGTAGGCAACCGTAAAATCTAAATATCAATAGAGAAAGATGAAGAAGCGCTAAAACAAAAGAACTTACACGTGTCAATCATGTGATTTAAGACATGGAGCAAACATTCAAGGAAAAGAGAAGCTTCCAATAAGAGTAACAGCTGGTTCAATGACACGTGGCAATCATGCATTGTAACATCCTTTGATGGTGAGCCATCCACGAGTGAAGTTCCAACAATAAACTAGAAGTGATAAAATAATTCATATTAATGTTTAATTTTTAAAATTATTTATTCTAAAAAATATTTAAAAATTACACTATTTAGATCAATAAGACAAAGAGGGATTTGAATACAATTTAAAATAAAATGAACATCCAAGTTTCATTCTTAACTCTCACTCTGAATTGCACTATTTAAAACGTCTGTTATTTTATAAATCATTAACATAATTAAAGTTCTAAAACAGTGTGTGAATATAAATTTAATTAATATGTCGAAAATTAAATTTACAGACATCTAATTTTGTCTGCATTTATTGATAATCCTTGTATGCGGAATGACATGTTCATGGTCATGTGCTATAATATAATGGCTATCTGTCTCGTGATTTAAATTGAGTAAGCAACGCATGGCAAGTCGGTGAACACACCTAACAATTTGCATATTTAATTATCGTACTTCAATTTTATTTTATCTTTCATCCATGCCCAATGGATTCGATCCAAGCTTAAAGTGAAACGAACATAAGTTACAAATCACAATTCAAATGACTTGTCGTATTTAATTAATTGTTATTTTATTAAAATATATGTTACTGAGATACAGTTATAAGAGTATTAATTGGAAAAAAAAACTCAGTACAAGAGTTTTTTTTATTTAATTATAAATTATTATATTAATTAAAATTATTACTTTTGATAAATATTAATTTAAAAATCCTATCAACTGTGTATTTTAAATAATTGATTGTATAAATTTATTTATATTGATGAAAATTAAACTATTTCGAAAATATCAAAATATATTTTAAAACTTTTATTGTTAAAAAATTCCGAGTATGTTAACATTCATACAAAATTCTTTAAAATAAATTAAGTAAAATATATTAATTTACATTGTCATATATTATCATATCAACAATAATCATTAGTTTTTGTAATAATTTTTAAAAAAAACATATTTATAATATATTTTAATTAACTGATAATGTATAAATGTTTATATTTGACAAATCTTATAATTGAACTCTGTTTTTAAAATGTTATGCTATTAAGTTGGAAGTTTAGATAATATTTTTCATCTTTAAATAAACATGTACACTTGATTTTTGTAAAAAAAAAAAAAAGGTTTGTAAATTAGTTTTTGAATAAAAAACAACATATTTTTTTTAGTCTTTATACAAAAAATTAAATCTATAACACTAAAAAAAAGTATTATGTGTATGAATAAGTGTAGAATCTAAAATAAAACTTACTTTCCAAATAAGTTGAGAAAAGTTAAAGTAACTGATAATAACTTACGAAAGAATAAATTGTTGACTTTGAACTGTGTCATTATAGTATTGCAATTATGAATATCTTTTTACTAAATAATGTTTAATTGTTGAAGCTGTTTTTCTTTTTGTTTTTTTAGTTTTGTTCCCTTATTCTATAGAACAAATTTATAATCAATTTTATTCAGACGTTTATGTAAAATTATCACGGATGACTTATTTTTATGAATTCCAATTTATAAGGCAAAATCTAATTAAAATTTGAGATTAATAGTAACAGTATATAAACATTGTATAAAACATATATTATAAAAAAATCTCAAAACTATCTAGAGTACAGTAATATTTTTTTTTTTACCTAACACAATATATTGTGATAACAATCTTTTAAACTATATTATTATCCTTTCAAATAAAGCGTCGTCTTGACTTGATATTTTGCCGACTTGTGTGTGCAACCGTGCACACTGCTATGCCTGATGGAGATGTATAATAATATAGCGATCTGAAATGCCTTTCCTCCTTGCGTATAGCACAAAAAGGGTGAGAAGATAAAATAAAATTCGACATTGATTGAAGGAAACTTGATCCTTCATGTTTCTTTGCCATGTGATATGGTCTAGCAGTACTAGTAATGTTTTTATTTCCTTGGAAATGATCCTCTCGAGCTTTTGACCAGCTTAAGCTCACATGCCATATTTAACAATAAGATTTTTTTTAAAAATTGCCAATTTCCATGCTCTCCCATGAATCGGTGTATATACCTTACATTGATTGTTTATAACATAAGAATTAGATAACAATATAATATAACAAGAGTAAGATATATTCTTATTTTATTTTATATTTGATATATATTAAATTAAGAAATTAAAAATATTATGCTATCATATTATATTTATTTATAACTTAAGCTCTCGCAAAATAAAAGTTATATTAAAAAATATTAGATTATAGAATAAATTTATCATATTTTATTGATTTAATAAATGTCACAAATAAGATAGAAAAAAAGGAAAGATATCATATGATAATCTCTTGCCTTATTCTTCAAATATGCCCTTTAATTTTATTAACATTAATTTTTAAGATAATGTTTTAACAAATGGACGAATTGATAAATGTCCTAATTACCGATTGAATAAATATTGAATATATAATTTTAATGGTATATACTATTTTAAACAATACAAATATTAAAAAAAATAAGGTAAATCAAATTTTAAATTAATATAAAATAATTATATTATTTCTTTTGTACAAAAATAACAATAAAAGACAAACAATAAAAAAACTGTTAATAAATCTTCATAAATTGTTAATACATTTTTTTAGATAAAACATTTGGATTAAATTTTTTTAAAGAAATTTAAAGTTAATTGCTTCTAACCATTTTGTGAACAATTCTCACAAACTCTTAGATCAGCCAATTTTTAAAATTGAACGGATGAGACGATTGACCAATTCTCTGTTCAACCAATCGAGTGACTAATTTGATTCACTTTTCTTAACAATGCTTAAAGATAGTTTGAAGCATTTAAATCGATTTTTTTCTTTTAAAAAAATTATTATATTTTTATGTCATAACGATTTTTAATTAAAAAAAAAACTTAATTGCTTAAAATTAACCACAAGCCTGATGTTAATATTTGTTTTAAAACCATGTATTAATCATTGGATGAAATGCGTTGATTACCGAACTTGCACAATCAACATCCCAACCAATCACAAAAAATATCGTCTTACTCTATCACTGTCTTAGTTGACCAAAAAAAGCTTCCAGTCGCACCTCATGGACTGCAGCACAATTTCGGCCCGAAGCAGCGGTGGCACCAAACCTAACGCAGACCTCAGCAACTGTGATGCTGAGCATAAACAATCTCATCATATTCAATGCACACGACCACCTTTCTCAAATCTTCACTGGATAAATTTACAAGCAAAAACTAAAACAAATCAATCAACTACACACAACTGTCCCTCTAAACGCGTCTCTCTACGGAATCAGATCAAAATTTTAATCATGTTAAGCTTAGATGGGACATCATTCCT